ATCAACATTTTTTCCTCAGTAGTGAAGCTCAACAACATAACAGCAACAACAAACAGCAGCAACAACAACACCAACAGCAGCAACAACAACAAGCATTTAAGACTGGTCGCTGTCACTGGCACGCTTGTTTTGATTTGTTCATACCCCGACCTCGGATATCCACCCACTTCGTCCTCGATCGCACCCCCTTCCGGGGAGAATATTTTCCCTGTCGGCCACTGACTGAGATCCGAGGAACGACCTCTCGAGCGAGAGCGTTGTTCCTGTGTTCGGGGGCTTCTCTGGCCAGGCAAGGGACTTCCGGAATACATATTGAGAACAATCGAACTGAAGCCTTTGTCGCCGTGTCTGGGCCTCCACCAACTTGCCTGAATTACGAAACAATCTTGAGCGAGAGCGCCACTTGAGTTCGGGGGCCTCTCTGGCAAGGGCCTCTGCAAATACATTTGGAGGAAGTATCGAACTAATCGAACGAGAGCCTTTGTCGTCGTAGATGGGCCTCCACCAACTTGATAGAATCGCGAGAATGTCTCGAGCGAGAGCGCCGTTCCTGAGTTCGGGGGCCTTCCTGGCCAGGGGCTCTCGGAGTAAATCGTGAGGGAGCATCGAGTAGGAACCCTTGTCGTCGTGGCTAGGCCTCCGCCAATTTGATTGAATAGCGAGGAAGTTTCGAGCGATAGCGCCGTTCCTGAGTTCGGGGGCCTCTCGGGCCAGGGTGTCTCTGGGTATGTCGTGAGGAAGTATCGAACGGGAGCCGTTGTCGTCGTAGCTGGGCCTCCAAGGGCACACTTTCACACTCAAGCCAACGCTCGCGCGGGATTCGTTTTCAGAGAAATGTAGCCCGCGTCGAAGCGAGAGTGCGCGGAACCGTTGAATAATCATTGTAGAACTTGTATCCAATAACAACAAGAGCAACAACAACAGCAACAAACATGTTTCAGATTATTTGTTCTTATCTGTTCGCGCGCCGTTCAACACAATTATCCAAAACCCTCGATACTCGCCCTCTTCGTCTTCGATTGTACCCCACGTGGGGGCATATCTCTCTTACCTGCAACGGGAATTTAGTGCAGCCCCTAGCAGCAGGGGACGAGAGGACGGATAGAAGAATGGGACAAGGTGGAGGGAAGAGGATGGAACATAAGAGGGAGTAGCAGGAGGGGGGCTAGGAGCAGAAAGCAGGTGGCAGAACCAGACGGACAGATCGAGCGGGCAGGCCCTTTCGGGCGGGTCGGGAAGGCGGGCCCAGGCGGCAAGGTCGAGCAAGCGGGTTGTTGAAGCGTGGATCCTGTATGAATCGCGAGGAAGTCTCGAGTGATGGCGTGATTCCCAAATTGCTCGCGAGGAAAACCAAAGCGTGAATGTGATTCCTGAGTGTCGAGGGCGCGGCGTCTGAATGAATGGTACGAGGTCCCACGCGAGAGCGCGATTCCGGTATGCACTTCGAGGAAGTTCCGCGCGAGAGAGCGATTTGCGCATGAATTGTGAAGAATAATTATATGCGGGAGTTGCTGTTGTTATTGACCGGGGGGACAGGGGTCAAGTTTGGTGACAAAGCAAGGTGTGAGTCCTGGGAGAAACATTACATTCGAAACATATATTGTTCACCGCGCAGAGGGGGATCAACACGAATTATTGTATATGAAGAAATTCGAATGCCACAACAATAGCAACAACAACAACAACAGTAATCAGTTTATGAGTGTTAGCTCATATTTGCCCGCGCGCCATTCAACACGTATATCCCAAACCCTCGATACCCGTCCTGTTCATATTCGATCGTACCACACTTGGGTGTATAAGTTTATTTCTGGTAGAAGACACGTGGCAGAACCACACGGGGAGATCGGGCGCGTAGGCCTTAACTGGCGGGTCGGGAAGGGGCCCAGCCAGGTGAAGCAGGCGAGTTGCTGAAGCGTGCGTCTTGCATGAATCGCGAGGAAGTCTCGAGCAATAGCGCGATTCCCAAATCAATCGTGAGGAAATCCGCAGAAAGAGCGTGATTCCTCAGTGTCGAGGGCGCGTCTGTCTGAATACATTGCGAAGAAGTCCCACGCGAAAGCGCGATTTCTGCACACATAGTGAGGACGTGCGCGAGAGCGCGATCTGGTTATCAATTGTGAGGAAAATCCGGCGGGAGTCGTTGTAGTTGCTGCTGTAAACCAGGGGCCAAAGACACAATTCTGAGACCCAAGACTTCCACTGATAACACAGCAGTGTGCGAGCTTTTGGAAGAGCACGTCAATTGAAAACATACAATGTGCCCCGGAAAGGGGGATCATCAATAATTAATCTCCAGTCATGGGGGTTCAACAACAACAGTAACAATCGCAACACCAACAGCATCAATTACAACAAGACCACCAAACCAATAACAATGACAATAGCCACACTAACAACAATAACACCAGCAACACCAACATCACCAATCTCAACAGCAACAACAACAGCACGGCAACTCGGCAACTCCAGCAGCGCCACCACCACCACCAACAACAACAGGAAGAGCAGTACCAATCATTTCAACGCTGCTTGCTCGTCCACGCTCGCGTGCCACAACACGCTTTCAAACCCTTGGTGCCCGCCTTCTTCGTCTTCGATCATACCCCCCTTGGGGGTATATCTTCCCTTCCTGCCGCGTGCAGTTGGCACAACCCCTAAAACAGGGGAAGGAGCGGAGAATTGAAAAGACAGGGGGGAGGGATAAGGATGGATCACGAGAGATTTTTGCAGGAGGAGGGTTCGCAGCAGAAAAGCACAAGCAGTAGATCCAGACGGGCGTGTCGGGCGGGCGGACCCTAACGGTCAGGACGGGCGGGCGGGCCCAGATGTCCAGGTCGAACGGGCGGGTCGCTAAAGCGTCAACCCATCATGAAGGAAGTTTCGAGCGATAGCGCGATGCGTTTCGTGAAGTAGATCAGTAGGAAATGCGTGATTCGTGAGTCTTGGGGGCACGGCGCGCAATACATCGTGGGGAAGTGCCGCGCGAGAGTGCGGTTCGTGCATAGATTCTGAGGAATTCCCGCGCGAGGGCGCGAATGTGCAATCAATTGTGAGGAAGTATCACTCGACAGCCGCTGTTCTTTGTAAATTGGGGGCCAGGGGCCAAGTTTGGTGACCCATCTATTCCGTTGTACAACAACAGGTTGTCAGCCCCGGGATTGGCACACATTGAACAACGCAATGGTCACCAGAGGGAGGGGATCAACAATATTTTTTAAGGAATGAGAATTCAACAACAACAACAACAATTACTAGCACGTGGGGACACACCGTTCTCACCAGTGCCAGGGTTTTCCTAGGAGGCGGGCAATACCCCCACTTTGTGGGGGGGCCGGTTCAAGCTCTACCAAATTTCCAAACGACTCTTCGCCACCACCCACACCCAGCTTCCCGCCCTATGACGTTCGGACACTTCACTTCGTGGCATGCGGACGACCGTGGCTACTATTCAGGGCCCCGCGGCCGACGACGACGGCGTGCGCGCGCGAAGAAAAAACGAATGTGTCCCGCATGGTATTATTTGACAGGGATGATGGCCCTGGCAGGTGCGCAACCGTTGTTGCAGAAGTTCGAAAAAGTTGCTCGCAAAAGCCCGTTTGACAGAAATGATTAAAAAGTGTTGGGTTTCCTACGAATCCGCAAGAGCGCGCGGGATGAAATTTTGACATTTTTTTTTGAAAAAAAACCATTGGTTTTTTGATGTTTTTATGTTAAAATCGCTACGAAAACTAAGGTTTTGGAAGGATTTCGTCTTGCGCGCGCGAATGTCCACTTTACCTTGTTTTTTTTGCAAGGGATTCTTGAAGTTTGGTTATGTTAGAACAAGAAATGTCCACTTTAGCTTATTTTTTGCAAGGGAAAACCGATCGTAACAACACAACCGGATCCGGACCAACCCGTTTTGCCTGAGACTTCCTCACGAAAATGATGAAAATGAGGCTGCGGCCTAGGCGCGGCGGGGGGGTCGTGTACCAGGGGTCCCAACAATAATTATTCTTTAGAAGTAATAATGTTCAACAGCAACAACAACAACAACAACAACAACAACAACAACAACAACAACAACAAACCGCACCGCAGAACCCCACTTCAGTTCCGCCCCAAGGGACAGTGAATTACCGTTCGGCCCCCTCACTCTCACCATAATCGAGCGGGCACGCATGGAATGAGGGTTCAGGCATAAGCTGCCATGCGAGAAGTGCACCATCCTCGAGCGGGCACGCGTGAAGGGGGAGTTAGGCATTAGCTGCCATGTGGGAAGTGTACCATCCTCGAGCGGACACGTATGGAAGTGGCCTCGGTCAGTAGGGGGGATGCGATAGCCTGCTGGTAGAAAGAGGGGGACGGCCCCTTACAACATTGAAACAGAGCCTACCAGCTAGACCTTGGCGTTCTTCCACGCCTCAACTTGCCAGGGGGCACGGTGTCGGATTTGAAAGCCCCACCAAGCACTACAACAATTGTTCAAGTTTCTGGGAGCCGGGGAACCCTTTTCCTTAACTTTCCCGCCATATCCATGTTTCCTCCTCCTCCTCCTCCTCCTCTTCATCATTCTACCACTCGTCTTGTTTCCTCCGCAGCGTGAGCCGCCAGGATTGGTGCAGATGGATCGCTAGCTTCCCCCGACATTTCCCAGTTCCCTTCCACTCCTGCTCTTCCCCCCTGTACGCCATGCATCCCTCTCATCCTGCTTGTCGTCGTCATTGCTTCGTTTTCTTGTCTACTCTTCCTCATGTTTACCCCTCGCCAAAACATCCGGGGACACTTCGGAGAAGTAAGGAATCCGCCGAACACTTCGATGAACCGCCGACAGCTTTCGAAAAATATCCGAATTCATGCTCGCGCTCCTCAAACTCGTTGTCGAGGACGAGGAAGAGGTTGAACTAGGGGCGAAGAGGAGAAGGAGGAGGAGGAGGAGGAGGTGGAAGAGGCGGAGGGCAAGCAGGAAGATCTGGCTCCTCCTTCATGCTGGTTGCTGCTTGCCCGAAGCGCGACAGGACCGCGGTGGCAGCGCGGGAGCGTCCTCCAGAAGCAGGGCGCAGGCAGCCGCTAGAAGCAGGAAGACGACGACGAGAAGGTGATCGTTTTCTTATTCACTGTTTTGCAGATCGGCGCAGGCCCTTGCACCCCCTCCCCCCCCATGGAGTAGCTCTTGGCTGTTTCTGGCGCCTGCCTCAAGCACGTGGAGTCTCCCCCATAGGACGCACTGTTGCGAACAGTCGCATCAAACAGAGGTCCGGAGCCAGAACCCCCCCCTTCCCCCCCCTTCCGGCCAATGTCGAAACGCCGAGTAAGAAAACGTTCACAAGGTCGAGCACGAGGAGCACGAGGAGGGGGATGAGGATTACGAGGGCAAAGATTAGGGGGATGAGGATAGGGACGACGAAGACGAGGCCCCCGCTGGACGCAGGAGCAGGCGGAGGAAGACGAGTACGAGGAAGAAGACGAGGGCGAGCACTCCTTCCTCCTCCCCCTCGTCGTGTTCCGCTCGTTGACGTCGACCGCTGTGCCGTCTCGGAGTTCCGCTCTTGTCCGTGCTCTTTTTCGTTATTGCCTTTTCGACGTCTTGCTCCTCCCCACTTCCCCATTGATCGGCTGGAACCCGCTGTACCTGGGTGATCCCCCTGGAGTTCACTTCACCCGATCCCCTACAATGGAGACCCATGCCAAGAAACACTCTGCTTGCCTCCAAGGCGCCCTGGGTTTCTAAGGTTTCGATGGTTTTGCAATGGGGAGCGTGACGTTCCCACAGCAAAAATCAAAAATCCATGGACGGCCTGGGGGCTCAGGGTTGGGTTTCTTGTGCCAGGTTTCTTGTGGTCGAGCGCCTACTGTACTTCTCCGTGTCCCCCGGAGGAGGGCGGCGGAGGAGGGGGAGGCGGGGGAGGCGGAGGGTGATGAGGGAAGAGAGTTGGAGGGAGAAGTCGGCGGAAGGACGGCGGGAAGCGAGAAGCATACGGAATGATTGCGAGGAGGGTAGTCATGGTAGTTGCAAGGATCACGCGTGCATATATCAGTACATACAGAGGGAGAGGGGGAGAAAGAGAGAGAGGGGGGTATCAGGGAAGGGGAAGAGCAGGATCATATCAAATGGTGACGAGGAGGTAGGCGAGGGTAATGGGAGGAGGAGAAGCAGGTGGAGGCTGAAGCGGAGGAAAGGGTGGGGTTGACGTCAGGAGGAGGAAGAATCTGTGAAGAGGTGTTCAGGGATCCCCCGCTGTTCTACAGGAAGCTCGAATTTCCAGACAGTTGCAGAAGTTTCTTGGTGCCCCGCAAGGGGGTCCTAGGGAGGAGGGTGAGGCAAATAGCACGGAAGCAATAATAATAGTAGTGGCAAGCGTCGTTCCAGACTATATTCTTACAGCGGGCCTCAAAATCATTGCAGACCCCTTTTTTCTACACGTGACAATTGCTGAAGTTGCAAGTTTAGCCTGCCTGTTGTCGTGAATAGGTCCTACCTAAATTCTAGACGTTTCGCGGAACCCCACCAGTGTTTCCCTCGGCCCCTCCGACGACGCCTCGGATATCTCGGGACACCTCAGGCTTCATACAAACGCCAGCCCTAGACAAGGCGACGACTGGACGCTCGATTTCACTCAGCAGGCAAGAGCCCGAGTTGTAGACCCTAGACCGAACCCGAGTGCGGCCTCAGGACCAAGCCTACACCTCGTTTCACTCTTCGATGGATGGGGGCTGGCAAGACTAGCGATCGGCGACCTTATGGCAAAAGTTGCCACGGCTCCACGCTTCAAATCCTCCGCGCTTGTCGAAATAAACGAAGAAGCTGCATCTCGAGTGGAGAGGCGCTGGGACCGCGACAACGCTACACGCTTTGATGGAGGCCCCCCGCACGAGAGACTAGGAGTCGACGTCTGGGACCTACTAAGGGGAGACGACAGTCAGAATCCCTGGTCTAGCCACCTGAGAACCCTTGACCCCGGAAGCCTCCTGTTCATCATTGCTGGACTCCCATGTACAAACCTGTCCTCAGCCAGCCAACACGAAGGATTGGACGGACTTGCTGGCTCCCAGTCGGTGCACTTCTTCGCCGTGCCGCTCCTGCGGAGCATCGCGCGCAGGCTTCGGCCGGATGTTCGCGTCCTAGTGTGCTGCGAAAGCCCAGCCACGATGCAAGCGGCACACAAGCAGGCAATGTGTACGGCCCTGGGAGAGATACCACTCGACTGGGCGGTGCGCCTCGATGCTGCCTCCTCAGTGGCCAGCCCGAGAGACCGCCTCTGGCTCAGTAATTGTCCTCCCGCTGAAGATCCCGTCGCGTATCCCAGACTCCCGAGCCCCTGGGAAAAACGGTGGACATACAGACCAGACGGACGCATCCCCACTTGGACCCAGTCCAGGGCCCCGGCCAGTGCCCCCGAGGCCATAGTCCCGAGCAGCTACCAGACGCACCCATTGTGCCTCCTGTGCAGCGAAGACAGCAGCTACAGGTGGCTCCTCCGCACTCTCGCCGACACCAGGAACGGCATTAGGAACATCCTCGCGGAAACGGGCGCCGAGCGATGCTTCCAGGGCTGCACAGAAGGGCCGGCTCTCGTCTGTCAAGGTAATTAGAGAACGGGAGAGTCTAGCCAGCGAAGGAAAGGCGAAGGCTTGGGCAGCATGGCTGCTCGCGCACGGAAGAGAGCATGGACTCAGGGTCCCATCCCCCGAAGAGCGGGCTCGAGCAGTGGGCCTCGGGTCCTACTACCGGTCCTTAGCCATCAGGGGGAGAATGCTCTACGACGCTGTTGGCATCCATTGCGACCCTCGGTGCCTCCAACGCAGACTCGTTTCCTCCATCCTGGCGTGGAGCAGGGGCGAACCCATACCCAGACAGCAGCATGATGCACCGACCGAGAGGCACGTGTGGACCGCATGGAGACAGGCGCGCAGCTTCGCGGACAGAAGCTGCCCTTGGGCACCGCTCGCCGAAAACTCTTTTCCCAGACGACATAGTACGAACCATGCTGCAGCAGCAGCATGTCGAACCCGGACCGCCGCTCCCCTAGACTCGCCTGAAGACCCAGGGTCGCTGTACCGCGCCCTCGGGTCTCCCCCGACCACGAATCTCGCTCCGGGGGCGAGAACTAGAGCATGGCAAGCCGTCAGCTCTTCCCTGGGACGCGCCTTGGCACTACACTGTAACTACACCGTCCGGCGGCCGCGGTCCCTCTGGGCTTACCTACACGCAACCGCCTGGGACAACCCCACGTGGGCGGACATGTGCGGGGATCGGTCTTTGCGGACCTTAGTAGACGCAACAGCTAACGCCACACAGCCCGGCACGCTCAAACTGGGCTGCTGGAGCGTCAGATACTTCAAAAGCACGACTGCACACAAGAACATGATCAAGCACGCCTTTCTGACGCAGATGACCACCAACGGGAGAATTGGACTCATACAGGAGACCCACTGGACTGAACATGAAGCGGCCGTCTGGTCCACCATGTTCCACGCACGCACGCTTATCGCATCACCTGCCTACATAGGACCGGCTGGGGGCCGCGCCGGCGGGGTGGCAATCCTCATCCCGCATGGCACGGCGCTTGTTCGGACTGAGGACCTTGTCCCTGGGTGCGCCGTTGCAGCCGCGATCAGACGAGGTGAAAGCACTTACCGCCTGGCATCGGCGTACCTCCCTCCGTCCAGGAAGTCCGAAACCATAAATGCCATTCGTCAGGCCATCGAGAGATGGGATGACACCCCCACATACTGGGGGGTGGCATGACCATACAGGTTGACAACCCCGGAGATGGCGAAACCGACGAGGCTGCGGCCCTCACCGACCTACTCGCGCAGACAGGATCTAGCGTCTGCCACTGCGACGGCCCCACCAGGGTTGACGCAGACAACGAGTCGCAAATCGACATCGTCGCTTGCCCTTACCGACAGCTTGGGTTGGGGTCTATGGAGTCAGGAAGGCATGGAAACCGTCAGTATCTGACCACGCCATCCTGTACCTGGAGCCACAGGGCGCCCCCAGAACTCGCAGAGACAACACCATACGGGCCGGTGACTTGCGCCTCCTGCCGAGCGAGGCGCATGCTGAGCTAAGAACCCTCTACGCCTTTCTCGAGCGTACCTTCGGACTGCCCGACATCGACCTGACCGGCCTCCTGCAACCTGCCGACTGGGCCCGCCCGGCGGCCCCTGGTCAATTCCCAGCAAGACACAGGGACAACGACGACGGTGAAGAGAGAGAGAGAGAGAGAGAGAGAGAGAGAGAGAGAGAGAGAGAGAGAGAGAGAGAGAGAGAGAGAGAGAGAGAGAGAGAGAGAGAGAAGAGAAGAGAGAGAGAGAGGAGAGAGAGGAGAGAGAGAGAGAGAGAGAGACGAGAGAGAGAGAGAGAGAGAGAGAGAGAGAGAGAGAGAGAGAGAGAGAGAGGAGAGAGAGAGAGAGAGAGAGAGAGAGAGAGAGAGAGAGAGAGAGAGAGAGAGAGAGAGAGAGAGAGAGAGAGAGAGAGAGAGAGAGAGAGAGAGACAGGAGCCTTCAGCTCCACCTCCGGCGCTTCCCCTGGTGGACGATCACACCGCCCCCCTCATTCCCGCCCTGCTCACCCTTGGTCGCCACGCCATGTCGGCGGCCATACAGGATCGGTAGGAAGTGGCGCAGGAGCAAGACCAATCGCCCCCCAGGCACCCTGCTCGCCGCGGCGGCGAGATCCGAGTCCAGCACGCGCCAAGTGGGGACACTCGCGGCCTGGCTTGCCGAGTACAAGTGGGACGGCAACGACCTGGCCCCCCAGCAGGCCGCCTTCTGGCTGCGGAAGTGGGACAACGACACTGCTCAGAGACGAGCTGCTCGACTCACCCCCGCACAAAGGGGCCCTGGCGTCGAACGCCCCGCTCTCGCCTCGCACTGCCGCACGGGCCGAGAAATCTTCGTCAAAACGCACGCCATTCTCGGGGTGCGTGACACTGACGGGAGGTGGAAGGAACGCACGAAGGAAGTTGACGATGTCCTATGGCGGAGCCGGAGCCACATCTGGCAAACTGCCCCCCCCTTCCCCCAGCTGCGGACCGAATCCTCGACGAGTCCTTCA